TTATATTCTGGCTTTACTGTCAGTTGTCTTTGGACTATACCTGTTCTTATATATAGCAGATCAGCATACATTTTGATACGTTACTTGAACTCATTCGCCCCACGTGGCAAGAATACATGCCATGCCCACTGTGATACATGTTTATTTATTGTATTTACACATAGATGGCTCCACAAGTTCTTAATCACCAAATAGCTAGTTATCAAGAACTACCTATCTCACCTGTTTACCCTTTTCCTTCACTTTAGGAAAGGTTTATTTGTATCATTTCATTGTCTGAAATATTTTAATTACAATTTAATAATCATAACATCAATAACAATAACAACCATATTGATAGCAATGGTATTAATTTTCCTGCCAATTCAATGAATGGGAAAATCTGGATCAGTAACTAAGTCCAACTGATAGACTCCTTGCCAGCTGAGCACATATAGAGCCATCTGTATGTAACAAAATTTACCAAAAAGTACACGGGACAGAACATAAATCCGGGCCAAATGGGTTAATGATATGCAAATGGATTAGGGTAAGGGTTTCTAAGATATTTGGTGTTTGATCCACCATTGTAGGACAGCGGTATTCTGTTTTTTACCAGAGACAGAGACATATATACATAGTTTTTGCATTGCACCTCAGAGTAGAATCTCTTTTTGGAGTGACTGGGTGAAAAGAAGTCCAGGAAGATAATTGGAGTAATTTTGGCTGAGTGTACTTCTATTGTATTATTTTATTCGTGATAGCTAATTTTAATGTAATATCTTTTCATAAATTTTCAGACTGCATTAGAACGTTATGGGAAGAAATCGACTAATGCCAAGGATTTCTACCTCTTTGAATCGTTCCCAAAATATGGCAAATCCTACGATCTTCTTCTTTCTGTAAGTACAGAGATAAGCGGTACACTGCTCTTTTAGTTATTTAAGCTATTCAGGGTTTTGTGATCTAGCAGAGCTCTGGGTCCAAAGCATTCTACTAATTGTTGACTGCATCAAGAGCCACAAGTAGGATCTCCAGAAACTAGGGGTAGGGGTAATAATATCACTGGAAAAGTCTAAATGGATCATAAGCGTTCTCTCTCTTCTTAAACCTATTGAATCTGGATGCATCGCTGCCTGCACATGGCCCAAAATCCAGGCATTAGGTTCACTTGAGTGGCTGCTTTTACGTGTGTGGCTTGGAGGTTGGGCACACTTGAATACCCATGTTCACTGGCAAGACTCCATGAACATTGCAGTTGGCAGTCTTTCTTCTGCAGCCTTAATCTTCACTGCAGAGTTACATGCCATCGTTGCAACAGTCAGAATGACTAGATATCTTAGGAACCTTTGTAATAAATTGCAACTTGCAGTGCTTTGCAAACAGTCAAGAACTTGAACTCAAGATTGGCTTGCACTGACGTCATCATGTAAGAAGATAACTCTCTGTCGGATGCCAGTGCATGCTGGTATACAGGAGAATGAGCGAGATGATCAAAGGGCCAAGGCAGCTGCCGCTCAGCCCTGTGATACATGTTTTCCTCTCCCATACGCCAACTTGAAACCCAGCATTAGAGGTTGGCTTTGTGATAAATGGAGGGTGCAAGGGAGGCATACTTCCAGAAACAAACTGCGAGAGATTAGAGATGACCTTGGCAGATGACACATGTAGTGGAAAGATGTGCAGCATTCTGCAACCAAAGATGTATGTACTTGTCTCCCCCATGTACACTAAACTATGTATTGGGAGAGGTTTGTGACATAGGTGTTATTAGTTTTCTAGGGGAGACTAATATTTGAAACAAAATTAAATTATGCATAATATTTATGCAGTGATTTTATACTTTTAAAACACAATATTTTTGCTTTAATATATAATATAATATTTATCGGTATTTATTTCTATTTATAAGTGACTTTATTGATAGGGTGGGCGAGTGTGTGGGTGGGTGTTTGTTTTTATATATATATATATATATATATATATATATATATATATATATATATATATATATATATATATATATATATATATATATATATATGAATAAATAAATAAATAAATAAAAAAAATATATATATGTGAAATTATATAAATATATAAAAACAAACACCGACCCACCAAGCATGCAGACTTAAAATCATGTATAAGATCACAAACAACCATATGGACATTAACAAACAGGAATACCTACAAGCAAAACATACACCTTGAACATGAATCTCACATAACAGCAAGTTTCTAAAATACCACACCAACACCAACTCTTACAAGCACTCCTTCCCATGTACCATTCGCGACTGGAACAGGCTATCCCAACAAGAACACAGACTAAACCAACACATGACTTTACAAGCACCTTCACAAACTCAAACACTACCCCTATTTCCCTAATTCTTTCCCTCACCCCCGGCAACCAACCTTATATGCAGGATGTGTACCTCCTAGCACCCTACACATTAACTTGGGATTGGGACCGAGGGGAACACACACACTCAAACCTTTCTTCAGTTTCCAGGGAAATGTATGAAATTTTGAGTATGGAGGGTTTTCTCATTTTGTTTATCTTTCTCTCACAGGATAACACAAAAATGCTGGTGGACCTGTCGACCAGCCAGCAGAATTTCCAGAAGTATCTAGTGGGGAACATCATGAACCACATCCAGACAATCCGCTCGTGTCCTGTGAACAGGATGACGCTCTGTGTAACCTCCCAGGCAGAGTTTTCAAAGTGTCTCAAAATGAGGGTGAGTGAAGGCTACTATATTTAGGAGTAATTTCCCAAGACAAGCGAAACAATTTTTGACCAACGTCAGTTATTTAGAAAGGGATCATTGCACGCTGGGCCTACTTCTGTGGAATGAAAGCATTCTTGGAGGCTTGCAACGAGAATGTGTTATTTCATATCAAAGCAGGGATGTAACTTTAAGGAGGGTTTGGAGTACAGTGAATACAAAAATGTTTGTCCTGTGTATGGCAACTTGCTGATAGTTAGTACATATCCAATTTCAGGTATTAAGTTCATTACCTCTTAATTCTGTAAGGTGAATGATATGTAATTCTAATTAAGTTCTGGATTTTTTTCCCCAGACTGCACTACATGCTCAGTTGCTGAAACCAGAGATGGAGTGCTTTAAAGGAGATACAAACTTTGACTGCATGGGAGCCATCAAAAGAAGGTAATTAAGAGTTTTATGTTATTGTGCTTTACCCTAGTTTCTTTTAACTCTGGGTATATCAAGAACTAATAATCAGTAACCCATTGCCACTGGTGATGCCATGTATGTACTACATGCCATGCCTATTTTGAGTTAAGTTTATTAATTGTGTTTATACAATATATGTATATTGCTATGATTAATGTCACTAACATTATAATAATCATAATGGCAGTAATAATAATATCAACATCAGTATTGATATAATTAAGATTAAAATATTTAGCATTTTCTGAAGTGACAGAAGCAACCATTTAAATACTATTTTTCTGTCTTGTTCACAGGGAAGCAGATGTTGTAGTGTTTGAAGCTGGAGACATATATAGTGCAGGACTGAACTATGAACTTGTGCCTTTCATGGGAGAACAGTACAATCTTGATACCCTAGAATATTATGTTGTTGCAGTTTCAAAGGAAGACGACCCCGATACAGATGTTCTGTATCTCAAAAGTACGATAATGTTTACTTGACTGTTTGGATATAATTACATATACATATCATGAGAGCATTGAGAGAGCTTAATTGCATGTGTGCCTATTATGATCAAACTTATTTTTTCTTTTCTTTTTTCTTTTGTTCTTTCAAGATAAGAGAACATGCCATCCTGCCGTCATGCATGGAGGTGGATGGGTAGTGCCGATGGCTTACCTCATCAACAACAACCTCATTCGCCAGTACGGGTGTAACTCGGTGAGAGCGGCGTCTGAATATTTTGAGAAGTCTTGCGCCCCAGGTTCCCTCAGCAGATTCTACCGCCACAATATGAACCGCCTAAATCTTTGCCATCTCTGCCACGGTATTGGAAGCGGGTTCTGTGCCCGGGATCACAGCGAACCCTATTATGGATTCACAGGTTTGTAGGAAGAGCTAGCCCTGAGTCTGTTCTGGGGGAGAGGGAAGAGGATTTCTAAAGGCTTTTAAAGATTTGAAATTACAGAGGATGACATCAGAATCTTACTTTTAAAGCAAGTACAGCTAGAAATTCCTCTGTTCCCTCCCTCCCCCACCCACCTCACCTAATCACTGAGAATTTATCAAAATATTTTGGCTATATTTTGTGTATTTTATTATGGCTTTTATTTCTTTTTTCCACCAGGTGCCTTTAGATGCCTAGTGGAAGGAGGTGGAGACATAGCCTTCCTAAAGCACACAACTGTTCGGGAAAATGTGGATGGAAAACGGAAAGAATGGTGGGCAAGGAACCAGCTTACTGCAGACTATCAACTGGTTTGCCGAGATGGTAATAATTTTTGTAGATGAGTTTTTTTTTTTTTACCTTCTTTGATAACTTGTCCTAATCTCTGTTACTACTACATATTGTTATACTTTTTCTAAAATGATGTATCTCATATTTGCACACCTACTCCCTCCTTAGCACTCTGGGTTTGGGTTTGATCTTATACTTAGTTTTGTCCTAAGAGATCACATTTTTCAAAACATTGACATATTAACTATTTGCCTTAAACCTATGTGGATTAAGAATGCTCGTATTCTCTCAGGTACTCGAGCCTCTGTAACAGATTACCAGGATTGCAATTTGGGCACAGTCCGTTCAAATGCCGTTGTGACTCGTGGTGGTTATCTCTATAATGAAACAGAAGTAGCAGCTTACACCAATCTCCTGTTATACGCACAGCAACATTTTGGCCGTGACTCTGATGATGAATGGAAGTAAGTACTGGTATTGTTGGAGTTTAGTCATGGTTGTTGTTGGGTAGGAATGATCAATTGAATGTTTTGATGTTAAGGGATTTGGACTAATTTGAAGCTTTTATATTCCAGCTTCAAGATGTTCCACTCCGATGAACCATATGCGGATCTGATCTTCCAGGTAAGTTGGGAGTCTTCTGAAGGTCCCATACAAACAGTTCAGTGTCTCTAGAGATGTTTTAATCATGCCTTTGTAAGTTAAGGAATTGAAACATATCAGTATAGACTCCTCTTCATCTTGAATTTATATCATATTGAGAATGCGTTTGTATGAGAATGAATGGTACTTTTAGTGTGTACAAAAAAGAATTTCTGTTTCAGGATGCAACACAACAGCTTGTTCCATTGGACAAGGAAGAGCAACATTATCATCCGTATTTAGGTATGTATTCGCTATGCAGCGGAAAATCAGGAGTAAGAGTAATCATGCAATATTCTCACTTTAAGTTGTGTTTAGAAATCTGCAATCTTCGTAAAGGTGTAGATTTGCTGTCATTATTGTATTCATTCATAGGAAGTATTTGTATTGATGCTTGAATATATTACCCCTACTAGGTATTGAGTTCCTAAATGCACGCTATGAAGTAGATTGCACTGCTTCATCCCCGTGTATGCAAGTGTCATCGGCATTGATGGCGTTTTTGGTGATCCTCTGTCTTGCAAACTGAAGGTCTGCTTTTCTCAGCTGTAAGTAAATTTGTTTATTTTATTTCTAAGTTCTGGAATCTTCAAGTAAAACTAATTTCATAACTTGAGTATGTTCATATCTGATTATCCTATACTCCAAGGTGAGTTACAATTTACCCCTATGGTATACTCTCCTATTGAAGTTCTTTTTCTTTTTCAGGTAGTATCTAGTTAAAATTTAGAAATGAGACCATGCTGCATCATCATATTATCAAGACACAGCAGTACTTATGGCTGTTGTAATCAACTGTGATCGTGAAGATGCGTAATTAGGTTGTGCTCCAGAATCTCAAAAACAAGGTGTGTTTGTACCACCACACTTACAAGCAGGTGTTATATTATATGCATTACTGAAAGATTATTATTCATAGGATCATCCCAGTGTATTAGGTCTTACAATGTAACATCCTATTGTATTTTTTATACATTAGAAACTGAAATGCATATTTGAAAAAAAAAAAATCCTTATATAGCCATGTTTGTCACAAATAAATAAATTTATGAATATTGATAATGGGTAATAGTGGTAATGGTATTGATAATAAAATAATACCTGTAAGATTATATAATAGTAATTATAATAATTATTGATATTATTATTGTTATTTATTATTATTTTTGTCATTTTAAATTGTGCTTTATTTTTACCAGCAGCAGCTAGTATTGAAATTATTAATGGCAGTTATGGTTTTATATTAGTATTGTGATCTTTAGATTGAAAGTAATTCAGATCTATAGATGTATATTTTTGGTAAACTAGGTTAATCCATAGTCTTTGGATTTATATTGATCTGGCTGGCCATCAGCTTGTCCAGATGTTTTAACAGATGTACATATGGACTTGTGCATGTTTAGATACATGTACACATATGCGTGAGTGTGTGAGTTAGTGAGTGAATGTACACATGCACATACACATAAAAATGAGAGCACATACAAATACACAAAAACACATGCAAACATATGGACAGTTGCATATTCATGCATACATAGATATATATATATATTTATACATATATACATATGTACATACTTGCACAGTAGAATCATTGATTCTGTTGATTGATGTGCAAATAGACCAAAGCCAATTTTGCCTGAATTTGAAATAATGGGACATTAATCATGTGTCTGTTAGTATTTTTATAATGCCATAGTTATACCAAGACTTTTCTAGTAATTTCTTAAAGGAAATATTTTTCAGAGTTTGGATGAAGAGTAATGTACTTTGCAAAAAAATATTTTCCAGACAGGATCTCATGAACCTTGATATAAAGTAAATTCAATAGCCAGTCTTAAAATACTTCTTGGAGTGTAAGCATGTAATCTGCATAACTGATTACTTTCCAGTTCCATATTGTTTATTTTTATAGGTCAGTGTTGGATAATTTTTATACTGAATATACGCGGCAGATCGGAATTACTTGGATGAAAGATAGGCGTACCAGGGTATTGTTATTATGTTTATGAAAAATGTTGATACATTTTTTTCCCTTCTTCCCTCTTCCAAAAGTATGTATGTGGCTGTAAGGGAGGTAATTTTATCCACTTCCAGTAGGTATGCAAAGGTAAATGAGGTTACCGTTATTCTTGATTGGAAAATCTCAGTTCTGCAACAAAAAATACATTTAGAAATGCTGTGTAAGCATTCTCTGAATAACATCCATAACTACGGATAGATAGTCTGACAGTTATTAGCATTTCCAGTGTCAGTTTTCAGTGACTTAAATAGGAAAAGCTCATTCATTGTGGTTATATATTTTGTGTAATGTTTGAGTCTTCATACTCATGGAATTTGTTTTGTATAGAAACTGTATACATTTATAACATTTTGGTTTGTGATAAGACAATATATGTTACTAATCACATTCTTATTTGTAAAGATTTGGTAAAAGAAAGAACCAAATTCAAAACTTTTATTGTATTTCTTAGAATGTGTTGTTCAGTTTCTGTAATGTAGCTCATAGAACGTTTAAATATATGATGATGAAATCATAAAACGCCTTGCATTTTGCATTTATAAACATTCCGTCCAATTTGTGATAAAGTATTTATTGTTATTTTGTACATCTGATCAACATTATGAAGGACATTGAGTTCTGACTAGAGATTTTTTTTTTTTTATACAAATAAGCATATTTAATGTGAAACATTGCAGTTATATAAAAGTGAGGTTCAGTTTGTTTTTGTTTCTTATGAATATTTTTTTGTTAGGAGTACTTCAGAAGGACATTAAAAATCTTGGTTACTAAAAACAACATAGTATTGCATTTTGATGTAATATACAAACTTCCTGTGAGATAAAGTATTGTATTGTAATTTAGTAATGTATATTTTTAGATTCATTAGCAATAAGGTCAGTTATGACTAATATCAAATATGTATTAAAGCAATGTTCTAATGTGAGAAATATGAATTGTTAAAATTTGTTCTTTGCCTTTTTTAACAGAAAATACAGGTTAAGTTTCCAAGTTTAAAAATATAAACAGAAAAAAAGATATTATAGACTTTCCTAGACCTTTAGCTCAAATAAATGGGCCTTTGCCTTTGATATAAGTACAAAAGACTAGAATTTCATTATCCTATATACAAGCCCCACCAACTCTTCCCTGACCCCAGGTTCTTCTTTGACCATGACCCTGAACACTACAACTACTACTACTCTCCTCAATGCCTACTAATACATTATCCAACCAAGTCAACACACTCAAGCTCTAGGAGACATTTCAACTTCATCAATCACCCCATCCTCCCTTATTATTACTTTGCAGCCTTATTTGTCCACTTCTCCGTAATAATACCTTCCTCAACACTACACCCTCTTCCACTTGTCCCTGGTCCTTCTGCCACCACCATCTCTGCAAATATATTAAATCCTCTACTTAGCCCAGCCAAATGGAACCAGCTCAACTAATTTTGCATGTTTTTTTTTCCCTTCCTACTTTTTCGTTTTTGTCCCTTCACCAATCCCTTCTACAATCCACCTCCTAAGGTGTGAGAGCCGTGCTGAAAGGATGAAAGGCTGACTTTGTGCCAGTCCTGAACGGCCTGAGGGAGCCATGGGCACGGTATTCCCTTGCTTAGGCCTCGCCCTTACCCCTCAAGGGGACCCTGAGGGGTGGACTGTTTCTCTCCCGAACTTACTCCTGGCTTACCATGGCCAATAATGAAAACGTAACCCCACTATTAGGGGCAATGAGGCTTGCCCCTTCATCAAATAGTCCCAACAATTCAAATTCTCCCGATTCCCTGACCCCAGGCTCTCCTTTGACCACGGTTCTGAACACTGCAACAACACCCCCTACTCAATGCCTACTAGTACAGTAGTCAACACTGAACCCCCTAGAGACATTCCTACTCTCCCATCATGCTCAACACCTCTACCTCCACAACCTTCTACATCAACTACCCCATCCTCCCTTATTAATACCTTACAGCCTTATTGCCCACATCTCCATAACACTACCTCCCTCAACAGTACTTCCTCTTCGACATGCCCCCGCCCTTCTACTACCCCCATCTCTACAACAATCCTAAATACTCTATTTAGCCCAGCCAAATGGGACCAATTTTTCGTGATCCCTCCCACAGCTCTCTACTCTGACAACACCCTTCTCTTCCAGCAATGTCTCCAAAACAAGTAGGCAAAGTCTCTTTCCGTAGCCGACCCGACCGCTCCCGTCTTGTAACAGTAACATCCGAAAACCAAGCTATAGCATTAGCAAAACTAACTGATCTATATGATAACCCTATCCCTGAAGAACCCCATCCAACCCCCAATACCTGCACCGGAACTGTTTCTATCTCCCCAGCAAACTGCCCAATCTATGACAAAGATTGGTCAGATTGTGGAGAAGACTTACTCGCCTGTCTCAAAGACTGATGTGACATCAGTACAATGCTACTCCATTCCTCCCAGAGGTCATCGTAAGAAACCCACTAACATCGCCAAAATTACTTTCCGTAGACATGACCTCCCATTTAATGTTTACATAGGTGGAGAATCCCTCCCTGTCCGACCATACCAACCTCCTCCTCGTCAGTGCCAAAAGCCAAACGTTGCCGTTCTACAGCCAGATGCCCACTATGTGCCCAACCTGGCCATACTCGATCAAACTGTTCTGCACAATCACGCACATGTGCCAACTGTGGTGGCCCTCATAATGTATTTTATTGGGGTTTCCCCACTTACAAATTTGAGTCTGAGGTAGCAACTCTCAGATACAAACTTGGACTCACACTACGTGAAGCCAGACAGGAAGCACGTCGACGAGGTTTTTCTCTTAATCCCTATTCCAGTAATATTGCTCATTCTACCACTTCCCCTACCTCCCAAGCTCCTACATCCTCTCCTAGACCTACCCCCTCCATCTAACTCCCCCTCTTCTACCTCCTACCTTCCCCAGTCAAACTCTTTTGCCATCCTAAATCAAGACACTCCAATCTCCACTACAACCCCAACTCCTTCCCCTCTCCCTCCCCGCACTACCCGCAACAGACAAAACAAACGTTCCTCTCAAACGCATAAATATCCCTCACTTAATCTAACCCCTTTACATTACCTCACCCGACCTTAACCCATTCACTCACCAATTCCTTTGCCTAGCTTTGGCAAGTAATCACGAACTTAACCACCCTTTACTAACAATTACTATAGTGCTACATGACCTTAGATGTCTAGCACATTTATTTTGCTTTTAACCATTAACCATTAACTCCAGCTGATCTCTCTGGCAACCCCATTCATGCAGAACCTCATCCAACCCTCAATACTTGCACCGGAACTGTTTCTATCTCCCCAGCAAACTGCCCAATCTATGACAAAGATTGGTCAGATTGTGGAGAAGACTTACTCGCCTGTCTCACAGACTATGATGCGATATCAGTACAGTATTTCCCCATTCCTCATAAAGGTCATCGTAAGAACCCCACCAACATTGCCTAAATTACTTTCCGAAGACATGACCTTCCCTTTAATGTTTACATTGGTGAAGAATCCCTCCCTGTCCGATTATATCAACCCCCTCCCCGTCAGTGTCAAAATTATTGGCGTTTAGGACATCCAGCCAAACATTGCTGTTCCACAACCAGATGCCTGCTATGTGCCCAACCTGGCCATAACCGATCAAATTCCTCTGCACAGTCACCCACGTGCACTTGTGAGGTGGTAACACTCGGATTCAAACTTGAACTCACTCTACATGAAGCCAGACAGGAAGCATGTCGACGAGGTTTTTCTCTTAATTACTCCAGTAATTTCGCTCGCTCTTGAAGATATTCCAGAATATCTACTCGAGTCTCAAACTGACACCGAAAACCCTCATCCACCCTCAAATTCCACAACTCCCGCTCCACACTCAAAGTGACTGCCGACATCCATCCTCCTCCTACTCATATTCCCCATACACCCCTTCCTCCTACTCCCTCCCCCCTTAGCTCCAGCTCCACCTAAATTAACCCTCCCTCCATCCCCTCCATCCCTTCCACTCCTACCTTGTTACAGACATGAAACCCTTATGTCATAACTATGCCCTTCCCCAGATCCTCCACCACCTTCCTCCCTCTCATTCCTTATTTCAGCCCCTTGCTCTTTCCCCCTCAAATTCTCCAACACGAACTATAACCGTTATCACTCATAGATCAAAGTAAATCAATTGAATCCTAGGTCAATTGAAGTATAGCTCTCCTACATTGGAATATTCGCATTTTCCGTTCTCACAGACCTGACGTTCGTCATATCCTTTCATCTTCTAACCAATCCATTATCTGCCTCCAAGGGACTTTTCCTACACAGCCACCTATACCAATCCCCATCTACCATTTTGTCTATTCTTTACATTCCCTTTCTGTCTCGTCTATACTTATCCATCAGAAAACACCTTTCTGATCCGCTCCTGTGTTCCCAATGTAATGTCCCTCTTGCAGTTCCACACATTCTGTTGTCCTATTCACGATTTAATGCAGCTTGTGCCTCTACTTTCCCCCACCTATCCTCCCTATGCAATACTCTTCATCAATTTTAAACATTTCATTGATAAAATGAAAGAAATAATAGAAGTAATTAGTGAAGAAAACAAACATTGTATTATTACAGGCGATTTTAATGTAAACTTACTAAAGAATATATCCGTTGATAATGTTCAAGACTCCATAGCCCTATTCAATTAAAAATTGTCCCACGTCAGTCACGCTGATAGATCACATTTGGACCAATCAACTATCCAACCATGTAACAAGCGGTGTCATCCACACAACCGTCTCAGACCATTTCTCCATTTTTTTTTCAATCTTCAAACCCCGCCTTAATCAGGAAACAAGTATACGTATCACCAATAGAGATTTGAACGAAGGCAGAATTGGCCAATTAAGGGATTCCTTAAGTAATGTATACTGGAATTTAGTTTTCTGTTCCAATAACCCTAATATTGTTTACGATAACTTCTTCACTATTTTTTCAGCCGGGTATGATAAATATTTTCTTGTAAAATCTAAATCAATCAAGTCAAAATCACAAGACAAACTCTCCATAACTCCAGCAATAACGGCTCTCCTAAGTGAGAAGAACAGGGTCCAGCGCCTATATGCAAAATGGCCGATTACATATGGAGATCAGTTCAGACGAGCGCATAATCATCTCAGGAAAGTGATTCGCTCTGGTCGCAGCAAATACTCTACAGAAGAATTAAAGACTAACTCAAATAACTACAGGAACACATGGAAGTTCATCAATTCAATTCTTGAACAGAAATACTAAATCTCAGAATCAAACGATGGAAGCAGAGGTAGGTCAATCTCGAGATTCTACTCAAATTTCTCACTATGTCAATTATTATTCATTGTAGCACATATATTAATTAACAATGCCACTCATCCATTCCATGGTTTCATGAATTTCATGGGGCCAATATTCATAACTGCAGACCAGTATCAGTTCTGCCCGTAATAAGTGGAATTCTGAAAAAAAAAAAAAATCATTTATATCAGACTGGAAAACTAACTCATACGCAACAGTCTTCTGTCAGTTTGCCAATTTGGATTTACATGGAATAAACCAACAGAAAGGGCTGTTTGTCATTTACAAACCATATCTACAAGGCCTTTGATAATAACGAATTCACTGTTGCTGTATGTATAGATTTATCTAAGGCTTTTGATACGGTTAACCACCCAATTCTGCTCTCAAAACTATCTCACTATGGTGTCAGGGGCTCTGCAAACCGCTTGTTCCATTCCTATCTGCCAAACAAAAATCAATTTGTTTCATGTAATGGATCCAATTCAGATTGCCTCCATTATCTCATGGTGTACCGCAAGGGTCATTGTTAGAGCCTCTTCTTTTCCTGACCTACATCAATGATTTGGTGAAAACATCCTCGTATCTGAAATTAATTTTATATGCTGATGACAGTAACCTCTATGTTTCAAGTAAATATATTAATCAACTCATTAGAAGCATCAACAGAGAACTTAACACTATCAGTAATTGGATTTCTTCAAACAAACTGACGCTAAACATTGTTAAATCCCATTATACTATATTTAATCGTAATAAGAAACTTTCCCC